CCACAGATCCCAACAAGTAATTGCAACGCCACGTACTTGGCGTCGAGCACGCACACACAGGAAAACGGGACCCTTCTCGCTGCATTCTCCACAGAAGTAAGTTGTAGTTTCGGCTCTCTGCTTTTCCGTACGCAACACGGAGCAGACTTTGCACGTCCGCTGACACCGCTCCGCCTGTGTTCCTTTGTTGCGCCATTCATCGACTTGTCGGGCTGTGTGAGACGTTGACTGGCTACCTCCCACTGCGACCGGCTCGTACGTTGGCAGGGAGGCTGGCTGCTGAGTACCGAACGTGTTAGCCTCGAACATATCCGAAGCTTGAAGGCGGCAGAGCTGCAGATGAAGTTTCTTCATGTACTTGACATGGCTGAGGGGACGCGACTGTTCATTCTTGTGGTAGGCCTTGTGCACTATGTAGCCGTTCACAATAGCAAGATCCATCAAACCAAGAGCTAACGACTTGTAGTATTTTTTTGAACCCCAGTGTGCACTGCAAAGAGTACCGCTGCAGCCTCAACTGGTCATGCACGTCGACACCTCCCATGTAAGCGTGGTAGTCCTTCACTACGCGAGGGCAAGGTACTTCGACCTGCAATGCGCCATCCTGGTGAGCAACACAATCCATACTGTGACTGCCTCCCGTACATAGAAAATGAAGAGGGCGTGAATCCCACCAGCTGATTGTCGCCATGTTCGGAGCTAATTTGGATTTGGACAGCTTGAATGAGCCACGTGCAATCTCAGCTGGGCGAGTTTTCTTCGTCTCAATGACATTCTTGCAGTAACCCAATCGATTGGTCATTATTGTCCCCACACTGTAGAACCCCATGAGAAGCAGCTGGATAACCAATGTGACGGAGGTGTAGAAACGATCAATAACCACAAGTCTCATGCCCCCTTTCCTGGATTCTGGACCAAATGCAGCAAGGAGGTTTCAAACTACTGCAGCGGGACCGGACTTCATATCAGGTGTGTGCGCCTCACTCGCGTGCTGCTTCTTCCACAATAAACTTCAAAACTGTCGGTATGCAGCATAACAGTCACCATAACGATTAGTATAACACGCATAATGCAGAATAAGGATTGCCAAGAAGAAAAAAAACATACCGAATGCAGTACGCTGTCAATGCACTGCATAACATGAAGAGCTTGGTGCCCCATTTGTGGGGCTTGTCTTTCATGTACACACGCATCTTGTTGAACGATGACCGGCTTGGCAAGACTACTTCATCAAATGCCAACTGTGAGGGCGCCACATATCCGCGAGCAAAGGTACGCTGCAAAATTTCCACAATCTTGCGTATTTTCCAAGCATGATCTGTTTGTGAACGAGGATCGTTGTTTGAGTTGAAGTGCAAATTGCGTGAAATCTCCATGAATCGATCCCGGGAAAGCACCGAACCGAAACATCCGCGCGAAATCGCGCCTTCGTCTGTTATTTTCCAATGGTTTGCAAGCTTCTCTCTATTGGGTGCTATTGTCCTTGCCACCAGCAAGCCAACGAATTGGAACAGCTCATGGGAAAGAACAGGCTTTACCCCTTCCATCTCTTGCTGAATATCGCGTCGTGTCTTCCGTGGTAGTACCGAGTTTAGCCTTTGCTACCGCCAATAGCGTTGGTAAGCGGCATCAATGCGAAGTGGTAGGATCTCACGACGATACTCGTTCGAGCTGGCGGCAATATGCTGCCACAATACAACCGGTATGAAATAGAAGAACAACGCAATCGGAGAGTCTCCTCTGCGGAGAACCTCAGCGGTTGGGCCTGAGTAGCCTTGTCGAAGACCAGGGTAGCTGGTTGTATTGTCCACAGGGTCGAACGGGGTCATCATGTAGTCTTAGATATCAGGTTCTTCGACATCTTCCCAGCCGGTGGCTGACATTTCGCGCAGGATGTCGTTCTTCAGATTTCCTGCGAGAACTTGGTCTTCCCAACGGAAGGTATTAAAAAAAATTGTCAGCAAAACAATTTCTGCAGCAATCTCTTCTTCAGTTTGCGCTGGGTCGTCACCAACATCCTCCACAACGGGATCACTGCTAGTATCGCCATCAGAACCGTATTCACCTGAGTCAACATCATCAGCCTCTGCCTCGTCGCCCAAATCCATCACACCAAACTGTTGAGCAGTGTTATGATCTTCAACGAGATTTATTGCATCGTCGTTATCAGCAAGAAGCTCATTACCAATAGCACTGATGTTGCGTTCTTCTTCATCACCAATGTCGCCTACAAACACCCATTGCACAGTATTATATTCAGTACATGATGCAGGATTACAATCAGCATAATATGCAGCATGAGGGACAGCATATCATGCAGGACAAAATGCAGCTTATCGACTTCTTCTCCATCTTCATCGGCCTCTGCTGATTGTGTGGAAGCATTGCCAATTGATCCAGGAGATAGCAGAACTGTCCCGTCATCTGAGGACAACGGAACATCATCATCCACGTGAGGCGATGTGAGAATCAGTTGACCACGAGAAGGTGAACTGTGTGAAGGACGAGGCGGCGTGCTAGCCATCGAGCTAGCAGTACTGGCTAGTGACCGACGAACTGGAGGGTTGTTGCGACGTACAACCGTGGGTTCTTGAACTGGTGGAGAAGCCAGACTATCCGGGGCTGTTGCTGTGACGGGTCCGACGCCAGCAAAACGTGCCTCTGCAGCATTAATATCGGCAAGGTAGTTCAATCTTACATTCCCTGCTGCCGCCGCAAGTTGGGCATCTCCAGGAGCGCTAGAAGGAGCACGTGAACGGTTTCGTAGCACTACCAATAGCACACGTTGGTATTAGCACATAGTATTGTAAAAAATAACACGTAG